GAAGTTGGTCCAGTTATTAGTTTTAAACTAGTCTACGACCGTGAGTCTGGAAAACCCAAGGGCTATGGATTTTGCGAGTATCGCGACCAGGAAACCGCCTCTTCGGCTATGCGCAACTTGAATGGCCACGAGCTTGCCGGTCGAAATTTGCGAGTGGATACCGCCACAAATGAGCGCTTCAGGGAAGAGATGAAGAATCTGCAAACCTCCCTCACCGGCAACACTTTTGAATCTCCATACGGTGCCGAAGTTGATCCAGAGGAGGCCCCTGAAACGATTGCCAAAGTTGTGGCCAGTCTTGCGCCTGAACAGATGGTGGAGCTGGCTCGACAGGTGAAGCACTGCGTAATGACAAATCCCGCCGAGGCGAGGAATATGCTAGTTCAAAATCCTCAATTGGCATACGCTTTGCTTCAAGCAATGGTGATGATTCGCGCCATAGACGTGAATGCCGCCTCTTCGGTGCTTTACAAGCAAAATCCAGCCCCCATGGTGATACCTCCTGGAAACATGGGGCCAGTTCCTGTGATGCCGCCTCAGATGATGGGAATGCCACCTCAGCAGGTCCCACACCCCGGAATGATGCCTGTTCAGCAGCCGCCGCCGCAGTCGATGCCGCCTCCAATGTTCGATCACCATCAGCTCGATCATCCGCATGGCTATAATCGACCGCCTATGGGAGGAGGGCCGCCGCCACCACCGCAGCAGCAGCATCAGCCAGCCTTTGACTCACGGAACATTGATCCTCGGCTGCGACAAGCAGATCCTCGATCCAACGAAATGTTTGATCATCGAGTGCCTACTGGTCCTCCTCAAGCGCCTGCTCCGCTTGACCCGCGAATTCGTAACCAGCCTGTTGGCCCACCCGGAGTCATTCGCGGTCCTTCGCAAGTTGCCCCGTCAGTGTTGGTACAAGCACCGCCGCAAGCAGCACAGCAAACGGCGCGACCATCATTTCCTCCCATTCAACAAAACCCTTCATTCCCGCCTATTCGAGGACCAGCTCCTCTTGGTGTCGCTGGTGGTGGTCAGCCAAATATCCTGCCATCGGAAAACAGTTTTCAGTCGGAGACGGAAAAGGCCCAGCTGATCATGCAGGTTCTTGCTTTGTCTGATCAGCAGATTGCCGTCCTTCCCGCTGATCAGCGTCAATCGATCTTGCAGCTAAAGGAACAGCTCTGTATTCAACGTGGCCAGTGAGTGGGAAGTGAATTGTGAGCACCAGCAACCATGACAACTGCACCCGGTTATCGGTCATTTCATTTCACCAAAATTACTTTGAACTTTGTTCAGTAAACATACATACACACATAGACAAACAGAAGACTTACCCATGTTGGCCATGCATGCATCTTATCTGTTTTGCTGATCACTGTGTTGATCAACACACATCGTCTTCCACAATCATTCAATCAGTGGCCGACAGATGGAAGGCGAGACTGCTTTGGCGGAGAATAAAAACCTAATCATTGCAATCATTGCTCAACACGGCGCCGAGAACGCGCATGGGTACAATTGTTTTGATCTTTGCTAAAGGTCTTTTGGCCAAAGACTGAATGAGTTTGCCTTTAGCGTAAAGTTCTTCTCAACTATCACCAGCACCGCCACCAGTAGCCCCGTCTATTGCCAATCTGAACTAGTCTTGTAAGTGACTCTCTTATCAGTCCACTATAATTAGAGCAAAGTCTTGAAGCAGTCACCGAAACACACTTCAATCACACACACAGTCACACTTGTTCCCTTTGCCGTTCTCCAATCAAAGTCGGTAGTATGTGCACCTACAAGCTCTTTTAGATAACTTTTAGTCTGCAAAACACAAGTCTGCATTCTTCACTTTCACTAGTCTTCGTGCAGCCAAGTATTCTGAGACTTGTGTATACTGGTGGCGCGTCCCGTTACACACTTCAACATCCCTTCCTTACATTCACTTTTTCATTTTATTTCTTCATTTTCGCGGTCATTTAAGTTTGTTTTGAAGCATCCATACGCGAAAGGACTTCACTTCATATTTTCACTGCCAACGACCACGTTTGATCGACAATACTCACTGCTAACGGGAGCGAGAAAGCAAAGGACAGAGAAACAAAAACAACGTCAAAGTGAGTGTAGCATTGATGTCAAGTCCGCGTGTTCACTACCACTACCTCAATGTCACGCCGAAAAAATGACGTAATCATTTGCCATTGCTAATGATGCTAGTCTAAGTGATAATGAGAAAAAATAGTTCAATTAGAACTTTGCAAAGTAGATTTAGGGAAGGGAGGCGGCAATTTACCAGAACAGCAACAGTCGTCGTGGTATTTGCATTTGTGGCGTTTCACAGTACAACTTTGTGCACAAAAGCTATCAACAACTAATTGTGTCATTTATCTCTTTCTCTCTCCCTATCCAGAAGAAGCTTGTTGTGGTACACCTTCTCATCACCTTGATCTTTCACCGAGACGCACCGTTTCCACACTGCACCAATGATGCTGCGTAATCTCAAAGCTGTGTCGGGCCTTGCCCGTCGAATGGCCGCCGTTGACCCGACTGCCGGCTTGCGCGGCACTTTGGTGCAGCGATTTCTCAACGTGCACGAACACGATGCCATGGAAATTCTGCGAGCCGGCGGCGTGAATGTGCCCAAGTTTGGAGTGGCCGCCTCTGCGAAGGAAGCCATGGAGGTCTCGCAAAAGCTGGGATCAAGCGACTTTGTCGTCAAAGCTCAGGTGCTCGCTGGTGGCCGTGGTCGAGGTCACTTCACCTCCGGATTGAAGGGCGGCGTCAAATTGGTGTACTCGCCCGAAGAGGTGCACGATGTTGCCAACAAGATGATCGGTAAGCACTGAACTGCTTTTTCACATATGTTTGCAGACCAAAGTGTTAACATTTTGCTTGTTACCACCATCCCCCAGGACACAGTTTGATCACCAAGCAGACTGGCGAGAAGGGAGTTTCCTGCAACAAGGTGATGATTGTGGAGCGTCTCTTTCCGCGACGCGAGTATTACTTCGCCATCATGCTGGACCGAGCGTACAATGGACCAGTCATCATTGCCTCCTCGCAGGGTGGCATGGCCATTGAAGATGTGGCCAAGGAGACGCCGGAGGCGATCATCACACAGGCTGTCGACATCAAGGAAGGCCTCACTCGAGATGTTGCCCAGTCGATTGTGAAGAAGATGGGATTCCACGCCGCCAGTCATGAGCAAGCCACTGACATTATGATGAAGCTGTTTGAGGTCTTCAAGAAGAATGACGCCTCTATGATTGAGATTAATCCAATGGTAGAGGACTCGACGGGCGATGTGCTCTGCCTGGACGCCAAGTGTCGCTTTGATGACAACGCTGAGTACCGTCAGCCCGATGTGTTTGCTCGAAAGGACAAGTCGCAGATTGATCCCCGTGAGTTGGACGCTCAGAAGTACAACTTGAATTATATTCCTCTCGACGGCGACATTGGCTGCCTGGTGAATGGTGCCGGACTGGCCATGGCCACCATGGACATCATCAAACTGCACGGAGGCTCGCCGGCCAACTTTCTTGACGTGGGCGGCGGCGCTACATCTCAGCAAGTGAAGGAGGCCTTCAGAATCATCTCTTCCGATTCGAAGGTGCAGGCAATTCTCGTCAATATCTTTGGCGGCATCATGCGTTGTGATGTGATTGCCGAGGGCATCATTGCAGCTGCTCAGACGCTTAATCTCAAAATCCCCATCGTTGTCCGCTTGCAAGGTAAGTGTAGTGTTGCGATGTAGGAGGCGGTCTGTAGAATGTATTTTGCTCTACATTTTGCCCCACATTTCAGCGCTGATGCTTTGAAGGCAGATCTGTGCATTTAGTATGCTGCACAGGCAGCCAATCAAAGGGCAATTAGACATACTCATAAACTCTTTTTCATTTGCCTTTGCCTCATTAGGAACAAATGTGGATGATGCCAAGGCGCTGATTGCTGCCTCGAATCTGCGCATTCTGGCTTGTGATAACTTGGAGGAAGCCGCCAAAATGGTCGTCAAGATGTCTGCCATCGTCAGTTTGGCCCGTGCCGCTTCAGTCAACGTCAACTTTGAGTTGCCCATCTAAGCGTGGGCATCTTCAACTGCTTTTTTCTTGTCACCACCAACCACAGAGCTATGGATCGAGGCCACAAAGCATTTGATAGGGCTCGGCAAACTGCTTCTTTTGTCATCTTTATCCTAGCTTAGTTTTTAAACTATTTATTAATTTTTCATCTTTTGGCCTGAATTAAATCCTCTTGAGATAGGCACAACCTCATCTGAAGCAAACTTTGTGAAAACTCCTGCCCCCATTTTAGAAATGAAATCCTATTAAGTGCCCCTCTTTCACTGACCTATACTAAACATTAAATTCTTCTGATTACACACACACCTTTTTCTCTTTGTTACTCCCTTCCTTGTTGACTCTTTGCATCCATTGCATCAATTGAACCATTGCCCTTCCTGCAAATCATTTCGACAACAGACTGTATATCGATATTATAAATATATATTTTATCACACTTGCTCCATTCAATTGTCTATGTTTCTATGTTTGAAATATTTGTGATAAACACATCGACACTAAAAAGACTGTCACCACTGTTTCGCTTATTTATCTTGGCGCTGCAATTTTGTTTTGCCTTCTGAAGTGCACAGTGAACGCACTTGTGTTTCATTATTGTTTAATAGGTGTCTACAAATAAAACTGTATTTGAACTTTGATCAGCTATCAAACATATTGACCGGTTTATCTAATAGAAAATAGGACTAGAAAAACGGACAAATGCAAATAGGCACTGCTAATGATTTGGTAGTGAGAATTTGGTGGCGTCTACTTTCTGGTGGTAAAAGCGCCTCTGCAAGGCAAACATTTTCTATTTCCTATTCTCGTTCTGTCAGCTTTTCTGCTGACGACTGGCACTGCGATTGCCAATTAATAATTGAGGAGAATTGTGCAGTGCAGCGGACTGAATGGCAAATGGGAAGACAGTGCAAACTGGTGGCGTCGTCTTCTGCAGACTGCACCGCCACAAGCAGACAGCATAATGCCTTCCATCGTTGTCTACATTTGCCTAATTGGATTGCCATTAAAAAGCTGCTGAACAGCTGCTGAACGGCTAACTCAATTGACACTAGTCAAAGAGAAGAATGAAGAACTGAAGAACTAAAGGACGCCAAATGAAGCAGAGAACCAATCGAGAAGGACAAAAAGACAAGAGGAGACCAGCACAGGAAGTGCCACGAGAGAAGAACAAATTGATTTCGCCCAAAAAGAGACGGATCCGCCAGTGACAAGGCAGACACTGCAAACGCACTGTCGACTGTGCTTAATTGCTGCTTCACAGATCATTCTCGATTCAAGAGGAGGACAGTCTTTGGCCTACTACCATTCACAAGAATAAATGATCAGAGCACACACTAGTGTAGTGATCACCACTGGCACTGCTCCTTCCACATCTACTCGTTTCCTTTGTTGTTTGTAATATATTATGAGGCTTTCGGGCAAGTGCTAGAACACAAATAGCCTTCACTCACTCACTCAGTCTTTTCTAGTGATTCGGGCATCGGACAGTCATAGCTGCAAGGCGACACTCGCCACACACACACACACACACACAAAGACAATCTACACATTTGTTCTCACAATGACCGTGGAGGAGGCATCGAGGCGCAAGTAATCCATCCTTCGGTAGAAGGAAGAATGATGCAGAGAAACAGGGCACAGATACACTGTCCGCTTCGATTCGATTTTTGTCCATGATCGATGATTGCCAAGTGGTGACAATGCCTGTCTGCCGTGTGTCCTGCCGTACAGGCCGAGTACAGCGTACCACTCACGTTAGCTTCACCGGTGCACTGTTTGCACTGTGCGCCAACTCTACGAAACGTCCTACTTATCGTGACGTTTAAAGATTTCGTCGGCGATTGGCCGCACAGGGACGGCGAAGCCGAAACAGACAACGGCACAGACGCCCTACAGTCTGAGCTGGAAGATAGCGTTTATTGAATTATGACTCAAGCGCTGAGATGGGCTGTAGATTTAATTAACATTTTTCTTCTTTACTCTAGCCGACTTGCTTTGCTTTTCTTTTTCTACTTTCTCGCTTACACTAACTGTGCCCAATTTTTTGCTAATCTGGCCTGAATTGTGTAGGACTTAA